TCGGCGCCTATTTGACAGGTACATTGTTCGAGTCCCAGCTAGGGCATTGCTCATTTTTCAAATCCCTTGCTTTTTAAAAAATACCTAATGTCCCTACAAATTAACTAATAAACATTCTCTTTCGTGTGGTCGTTGCTGTTATTTGTCCTCTGTCCCGTTGCTGTAATACATGGAGCACATTAGTTCACAAATGCCAAGAGTATAACTTCAACGCAGCTCCATTCTTAGATTGATCAGGAATCAACTGTGCCTATCGTTCCCCTCTTTTCCTGCCACCAGACTTTTAAATTGGCTTTCGCATTGATGAGTTTTAAACAGCCACTTTTTTCAAAGATACTGTCGTCACAAATATCCTACCTTACCCATTATTCAAATCATTTTGGAGTTTGAGCAACCGTTGCAACCGATACAATCGATCAGAGACTTTTTTCCCTGTTAAATAGATCATAATAGATCACGTGTTTGATAATGAAAAGGCCATCAATTTTTAAATGTTAGCTTCTGAGCGAATATCTTACTTTTCCTGCCCCAGAAACGATATCTGAAGTTTAAAGCTTATCTTGTATTTAAAAATAAACTTTTATTTGGATATTTTATAAAACTTTACGTAATTTATATTGCATACCGTAAAATATTTCAGATCAGGCTGCCAAATTTCTTGATCTGTCATGAATACATTCATGTAAATCTAAGGAGTGTATTATTTAACTAGGAGAAAAAAAGGAAAAATTACTTTAAAAAGCAGTTTAAAATTTTGACGTCAATTTATCTGTCATCGGACTAACATCAGCATGATGGTAGTTCCTGGTGTCTCATGTTTGGAGAAGTTATGGAACGAATTTCTGCATTGAATGGCCATTAACATTTGAAAATAAACATTATTTTAAAACCAATGAAAATTTTGTAAATCCCTTGGTTGAGTTTAAAGCGCGTTCTAGAAAACACATTAATTTTATTATACAGAAAACAAGCATTGAGATATAAATGATGTGCTTGAAGGATCATTATCCTGTGCCAATTAACGAGAGTTGTATTGATAAAATTTAAATCCTCAAATCGGATCATTTACATTTATTTAAAGTAGCTTATACTGGAGAGTGAAGTACATAACTGTTCTATCTGACGTAAACCTGACGTGCTGAACCTAAGAAAGGTTTACTTTTCATGGCGTGTTCTTAGAAAAACCTGTTTTACAAATGCAACGCCTTTGCCGGGAATCGAACCACGGACGTCTAAAATACGCGTTCAGCGTGTAGACGATTACACGACGAAGGCACGCTAAGAAGGCTGGAGAAATACTTTATATACTTCCCCTTTTAAAAAGCGACTGTGGTTTTTAGAGACCCAATCGCCAAATCCTGGGCGTGGAGAATCATCAACCACCGTCCTTTTAGTTCGGGCGCCACTGTGGAGACATTAGGTGTTTTTTTGGAAGCAGGAGAGGTGAAAAGTGACCAACGCTTTCGCCGACAATCGAACCACGGACCTCTGGAATACGCGTCCAGCGTGCAGACCACTACACCTAGAAGGCACGCTAAGAAAGCGGAAAAATACGATAAATATGTGTTTGTGTCTGCAATAATTTCCTTTTTTGTAACAAATAGAACAATACAGCCACTATATGAAAATAAGGTTACCCTAATATTTTAAGGTATTTTTCAAGGAAAAGGAATGTAGTTGTGTATATGAGGAAAATATGATTCTTAATATAATTCATTTTTCTCTAAATAGAATGAAGGGGAATTCACATAATTAAATCTAATATTTTATTACGGTATTGAATAAAAATGTGATACATTAAAATTTATTTGTCTTCAAGCATACAAATAAACAGCGGTTGCAGAACGAAATCAAGATCACTCAACTAGACGTAGTTATTATAGTTAGCGTTAATAAAGTTTATAGCTATGGCAATTACGTGTGTAGCGTTGTTGTTGTTGTTGTCTGGTCCATGAATTTCATGGAAGAATAGTTGCCAGACCTTTAAGGAGGTTTGACTTTTTCTTCAATCCCAATTTTGAGGAAGAGCACCCCAGGTCCCACTCCTTTGGCCTGCCACCAAGTTGTATCAGATGACTTTTGGCCCTCCATATTTAGAGTGCCCCTATGCCGCAAAGATACTATACAATTACAAACATCCATGCCTTCTCCGGAATTCGGACCCGAGCCTTTCGGTACTGCAGTAGTCGTGGCATTACCTGAGTGGTTTATTTAACATTTAAACAATATAGTTGTCCTGTACAGTGTGATAGCTAAACTCTTTCCTCTTATTTTACAGTTTCATTTATCCGATACTTGTATGCACTTTAAGCTAAATCTTCAGGTGATTTAAGGAAGAATGATTGATTCATCTCTGCTCGTGGAATTAATGTATATAAAAAAAAAGTCAAGATATTATTATAAGTTTTGGCTGTAGCTCTCTAATCACGCGAGCAAACACACCTAACAATACGATAAAAACAATTCAGATAACTTAAGGTTCAGTGCTGGGCAAACCTGGTTGGTGGAAGGTCAGTGGTAGCTGCTAAAAGCAGTTTACCCCAAGTCGAACTAACCTGTTCTGTTAACTAATTTGAATCCTGGTAGGAGCCAAGGAAAGGGATAGAAAAGAAAAAATTTAAAGATCACGATTTAATAAACACAAAAATATTACATATTTAATAAAAATTCTGATTATAAAACTCTATTATAGTTTTATAACAAAAATTAAGTAAAAAGATATGGCATTTTTTCAATGTAAATGGGGTACTTTTCTCATTGGAATCATAAAGCGGATAAAAAAATTGTAGAAAAGGCAATATTTTTCCAATAAAATACGGAAAGAGATAAAAAATATCTTAATTTGTTAACTTGTGCTTTTTTACTATCTTCTTGTAAATAGGAGAGATTTAAGAGTATTCTCTGAAGTAACCAGATAGTATTTAATTTCAAGAAAGCCTTAATTAACGTTGCTTTAAAAGGTTGAAGGTAAAAAAAAATATCCAGATGGTAAAACATAAAAAAAAAAAAAGTTCTAGTTTTTTATTCCCTCTCTTTTAACTCCTTGCTTCTAATTAAAAAGCTTAGATTCTTAATCATGTTAATTTAAAGAACACTTGAAACCCAAAGAGGTTATCATTCTCATTCTGAGAGGGAGAACTCAAAGATAAATAGTGTTTGAGTTATTCAAGTCAAAAGTTAAATTAATTTAAGTGTCAAATTATAGGTAATTTCGTCTATAAAGTAGACACAGAAATGCGTTTGATAATCCAATAACGAATTAGAAGCACAGGAATGTTGTTAAATAATTATGTTAATGAGAATGTAATAGTTATTTAAAAATGAGCATTTAACAGAATGCTCATTTTTAACTTTTTAACTTTTCATATTTTTAACTTTTCATTTTTAACAAGAACTTTATCCATTCAGAGTCTAGAATTCACCATTCCGTCTCTCAGTACAAAAATTCTGTTTTTATGTTAGGGATTTTATCATTTTGCCACCAACGAAGAATTAATTATTAGCGCTAAATTTCGTTCATTTTGCTTTAGAGGGTAGGAAACGGAAAGTATAAAAGTTTCTAACTTTGAAATTAAATATCCGGGCTACCTTTTTGTTGTACTGGGGTCAAACTTCCTGTTTTTCAAATATAAATATAGGAACCGAGAGACAGTATTAAAAGATAGTTTTTATTATTTGTCGAAAGTATTTTTTTTTTTTTTTAATTTGACTTTGCCAAAACATGAACATTTTCGTCATTTAACCGTTTGTAGGCTAAAACGCCTGAGATAGCCTTTTATTCAAACGACCACAACTGCCCGAAATGGTCGAGATTGCAAAGTTTTCTTGCCCCCCCTAAAGCTATGCAAGTGTTGCAGTTCCCCAAATGCATTGCATTCATTTAATTGCAGACAACTTGTCTTAAAATGCTACTGAAAGCTTCTTTGTTAGAAGGTAGAAAAAATGTCATTTGAAATATTCGCACCCTTTTTTGCATTAATGGACGAGGAGGGGAGAAAACGGACGGGACGTGTAATAGACGGGGACATTCGTTTCGGTATTCTAATCATACGGACTGACTAAGGCTTCGTTTTTCTAAGGATTAAAACATATTTGTTACTGGAAATATATACGTCCAATGATCTTGAAAACAATGGCCGAGAAAAGAGGTGGATACATATGTACATATATATCCACCTCGTTACCTTCTTATATATATGTGTGTGTGTGTGTATGTGTGTTTGGTACTGCCGACTGCAGCAAGAAAAAAGGGAATTGCACAAATAGGTGTTATAGCAGTCCCATATACGAAATTTCAACGTTCTACGCCTAATCATTTTTGAGTTATGCGAGATACATGCATATGTAAGGACGGTCGGACGTAAAAAAAATCCCTTTTAAATGCATTTTTAAATGCATTTTACAATCTGTTTTGGAAAACGAGTCCTTCAATATGTAGAGACAGAAATGTCCGTATATACTGAAGTCAGGCAAAAGTTTTCCATTATGATTCGGGAACGGTCAGAATTGATATTTCCGTTAAAATTATAGGTCTGAAATTTTATGCGATTACAATACTTCGTTATTTAGAACAGGAAAGTAATAATCTGCTTTATTTAGAGATTTAGACGTATTTTTCCCATTTTGAGAGTATATATCTTAAAGATGAAATATTAATGAATATTACTTTTCCCGTATACAAAGATTAATTGCTAATCTAATATTCTTTAGTAAAATTTGACATAAATAATTATTTCAAATTAATGTTAAACTGTTGGTATCAAAATAACTCCTTCATGTACGTCATTACGCACTAATGAGTGTATGTTTCCCTTCTATGACAGTTTTTCATAGTTTAGAGAATAATGGATAGTTTAATACACTTAATGCATGGACTAAAATAAAGTGAAATGTAAGGTAATAATGTAAATCATTTGTTATACTAAAACTATGACAGGAATTTCCTATTGTTTCAATTAGCATTTTTACAGCTTTTCCCATCTTATTTCATTTTTCTACAGCTCTTGGTGGCATGAAAACTGTCATGATTCTAAGCACTTTATCCTCAAGTTTGATTGAAGATGTAGCATTCGCCGCTAGAAACTCCCCTTCACATCTGTGGATGCAAGTATATGTGTTCCAGAATAGAAGTATAACTATTGATATCATCCGAAGAGCAGAAAGGGCTGGTTTCAAGGCTATTGTTGTCACAGTTGATTCTCCCATTCTTGGTGACGTCACATGCGGTTCTAGATCCCTCGCTGGAACAGTTGGGGATGGGTAAGTTCGCCAAGAAATGATATTAATGTTTTTAGAATTTCGATATAAAGACTTGAGCTATAAAATTAATGTAATATAAAATTATAACGTATAAAAGTGAAGTTTTATTTAATTCAGATCAAAATGAGACAGGTCTCTTCAAATTGTAAAATACACATGGCTTGATTTCTACTGATCATGAGTGCTGTTTCCAGAATAGTTATAATTTTAACTTTAGTTTCGTCTGAAGTTTGTACAGTAGTGCAGCACAGTTAGTAAGGGCTATAAGCGTTCGATATTTATTTACCAAATGCCTGGCCATTGACCATCAGGTCATTAGGCAATGAGCTCTCCAACACTTCTTTACAGTACAGTCCAAACTCTTAACTGCAGAGAACACGTACAGATAAGCAGCGTCCATGACTTGTCCAGAATCGCACAAAGCACATAAAAGTGAGACAGTCATATTAAAACGAAACAAATGAGCACCAAGGGAGCCATTTCCAGTCAATATTCTAAACTCGGCCACAGAGTACGAGACACAGTCAGTACTCTGTGGCTTATTTTCAGCCTCCATGACTTATTTTCAGTAACACTAACAGCAGGATTACGAAAGGATTTTTCCTCAATTCTATTTATTTCAAGTTTAGCAAAGTGAAGATATAGGTCTCTGGAAGACCTTTGGAAAATCCGAGTACCTTTGGCAAAAGGTCTGTCATCTCATTTTCCCAAAGGCCACAATGTGATCGCACCCACTGGAAAGCAACCTTTGTCTGAATTAAGCGTTCAGTACAACTGCCATCATTCTCAAATTGGCGTAAGAGGTGGCCTGATTCTCTGCGTACCACTTAACAGGAATCAGGCATAATTCTTCCTATATTGATCAAGAGTAACTTCTTTCAATATGGCTAATAAAGACGGCCAACAGTGTTCACCTGCTATTTGAAATAAAAATTTAACTATTTTGACAATACAAGTTTTCATTATTAAAAAAAAATTACCCCATACGTTTCTGTACATATCCGTGAAAATTGCATTGTACCGTTTTCTATATTTTTAGAATTTTTACTTTTCTGTTAATTTAGTACCATCCTGTACTTAACAAAATTTTAATGTTTATGTTTGCTGATAGAACAGCCAACTTTTTAACCGTTTCATCTAACACGAGTGTCTGTATATTGTGGTCGCCCAAACGCACATCATTAGACACGTAAAAGAAAATGGCAAACGAAATTGAAGCTGTATTCCGTAATGACCATTTACGTTAAAATCAGTGTCTTGTCCTATGCTTTCTATCCAGTTTGTTTTAAACTTTGATTCAGATGTTTTTGCAGACTCCGTATTTCTGATACATATTCGCTGAGATACTTTTGCAAATTATCATCATAATGGCCTATCTGTGGAAATAAACCCAACAGTTATCTTTTGGAATGTTTATTTTCATTTTGTTTTCATTTATCTGTGTGTGGGCCACTTTCTGATGAATACAAGTACATTGCATCGATGTCTACCATATCAGCAAATAGGAGAAATTGATAAATAAATACAAAAAACGTTTAATGGATTAACTATATTTCTATGCAAAAAATTTGGCATGAATAGCGTAGTTTACATGTAAAATGTTTCGTCGAATTGTGAATAATTCTGTACTTCTCAAACTACCTTGGAGAAGACATGCTGAAATTTAACTGTTTGAAGAAAAAGTGAAATTAAAGTATGTTTTCGCGTTGAAGTTACATTATTGTATATGTAAAGCTTTAATTACAAGAGATTAGTTTCATTTATATCATTTTGCTTTTCAGTTTAGTTCTGCTTTCTTATTCCAACAAACACTTACACACAAGCAGTAAAAAACGTATGGGAACCAGCCAACATGTTACATCGAAAATGGAACAAAAATCTCATCAGTTCATAAGCCCACGTATTTCTTTGAAATACACTTATTTGAAAAATCCTTCTATTTGCAAATACCGCAAAAATTGCATAAATGAGCTAACCGAAACACTGATGTTACCTTCGGGAATGGAATAACAGGGAAAAAATAGAATGGTTGATGGCAAATCGAGTTTTATTTTTCAGAAAGCTTAGCATTAGGGCATAACATTTTAGATTTTGAAAATGTGTACCTGCTGCCGAGAAAAATGTCAAGAATGGAACCATTGTGGTATGAGAAAAACATCATAAGAAAAATGTAAGAGCGAAGATATAATTAAATTGTAAAAAAATAAACGGATACACAGGATTAGTCGATAAGTGAATTTTCTATAATAAAAGATAGGGAAGTAAAGTATTTCCGCAAACATTGACGTAGTAGAGAAGCCGGCATTACATACTCTTGGGCTCAGATTCCAATTTTGCAGGAGGTACGGCTATTAGTATTAGTATAATCGGTTTGCGGCATGAGAGCACTTGAAATACTGTCGAGTCGAAAGTCCTTTTGAGAAGTTGATACTACGGAAAACGGGGGAGAAGATCCTCGAATACGTTTCCCGGCGTTAAAATCAGGACAGAGTGTTCTTTTTGTCACAACTGTAATTCCGTCACCCCCTTGGTGCACTCTGTGCAACAGTATGGGTGATGAGACACTTAAATGACCAATGGGGGTTTCCTATTTTCGAAAAAATATTTTAAAATGCAGATATCCTAACATTTATAAAATAATAAGGAATTCTACTGACTGCAGATTACAGAATTTTTTTCTAAAACGTAAAATTGATGGCCTTTAAAAGCAAGAAAAACAGAAAAAGATTTTTAAAGTTGTATGAAATCATTACGTGGGAAAGTATAAAACAGAGAATAATAAAACATATTGTCTTTTGAAGATTATATACAGCCATATGATGCAAATGGCCTTTAAACATTCACATTTATCATTTCCATCTAAATTTCCTAGCGCCAAACCAATGCAGAGAGGGTAAGACTGTTAAATACGAATAGTTCCACCCGGGTTCCTGTCACGGGGAACAGACTGGCTGTATAAACGTTTTTATGGTTTTACGCGTGTGTAACGTGAATGAAAAACAGTTTCAGTTAAATGCGAGACAGTCTATGCCAAGGGTTCCCCGCTTAGCAGTCAGCCCTTGCGTGATTTGCCTTAACCAGTTAACTGTGGTTGACGAGTATACTAGTCATGGAAAAGCTGCACGATTTTGTGTATTGACGAGTATACTCGTCATGCGTATAAATCAGTGTAAGCAGTGCGCGTATAAAGCAACGTAATAGAAACAGAGAAAAGAAAATAATAACAAAGAAACCGGAGCTAGTGATTGATTATAATAAAAAAAATGGGTGGAGTGGATATGAGTGATGGAATTATCATAACGTACTCCACAGCAAGAAAACGACTCAAAAAGTACTACAAAAAGATATTTCTCCATTTCCTAGACGTTATGTGTATGAATGCATTCATATTATATAAAAAAATAATGGAACATTATCTCGTATCAACGTATTGTTCAAATTTATTGAAGACACTTTTGCGACGTATCCAATCGAAAGAAATAAATCGACACAAATTCGACCATTTTAGACCTAATATAAGCCAATTAGGCGGGAATCATGTAAAAAATAAATAAATAAACCTACGCGAAGGTTTTCACATTGCTACAAACGTAAGATCAGGAAGGAATCGCGTTACTGGTGTTCGATTTGCAAAGTCCCATTGTGTATAGTACCCTGTTTCGCTGAATGTCACTCCACAGCAGGAATTTAAATTTACTTAATTGTATAATATTTAATTTAATTTATTGCATTTTAGTTTTTAAGTTAATATGTATGTAACATATGCTTATGTTAACCAAATAAGTAAATATTAGTAATAAAATTTTCCCTTTTATAAAATAAACCCATCTTTTTCATCCAATATGTTACCAGCGCAGCTTACTCTGTGATTGTCGAGTATACTCGTCATGGCTCGATTCTGGCGACACAAAACGGTGCGCACTCTTAAACGAGGGCGCCACAGTTAACTGGTTAATTAAATTAACCAAACATCTTTCCTGTTAGGCTCATAACAGTATGCGACAGGCATGGTGAGTGTTCACCAGGAAATATCTAAATAATCAAAACTAATTTAAAGGTCACTGGAGTCACAAAGTCATTGCTCATTTTTTGCTGGGCCCATAAAACCTGATCCCTAGGATACATACATTAAAAGTACTAGTAGGTTCACATAAGTGTTTTATTCTTTGATGCATGTATTATAAAATATAAGATGAATTTTACCTCCTATAGTAAGTATTATTGATCATATGTGAACAAAAATTAAATCGTGGGCTAAAAATGCGAATTTTTAAATCAAATTTGTCAAAAAGACATTAAGGCGAACTGAAATTAACCATTTTTGTATATTTGTATATAAAATGTATATATTTTATATAATTCCGGGGTTGACACTTGTATCCTTCTTGAAACTATTAATTTTCAATATAATTCGTATACAAAAAAACATAAAATTTTGTTTTTGTCACATATGATCAAACATTTTGTCAGATATGGTAAAGGAAAAAAATTCCCCTTTTATAGCATTTAATTAAAACCCAGCCGATTCAAAGGTTTCTCTACATTTTATTTTATACCGCTAAAAAAGTGAAATCACTGACCTTAAACTTTTAAAATTATTATTTCTAACTTTGTGTAAGATTACATTGAGGTCATTTAAATAACTCCTATATTTAGGGCTTCGATTTCGGATGCGGATAGAAACCATAGGCTTGCTTTAAAAAATCATAAGCTAACAGTCAATGATTATAAAAAAATGATAAATCTTCCAAAAAAATAAATGAAACAGTAAATCCCCTAAAATACACTAATAATCACAGTCTTGTTAACAATGAAGTAATAAAAATTTTGATTTGAAAATTTTTCATTGTCAGTTTAAATTAAGAAATTTCATCATTGTTTAATTTTTTCATGAGCAAAATTTGGAGAATTGTGTTAAAAATTCTAAAAAACGTTCATGCTGAGGGCTAATTTTTTATCTATCCTATACAATTAAGGTCACAATTTCGCATTATATCTAC